TGCTATTGTTGCATTGGTATATTGAATCCACATGTGTCAGTATTGGATAATTAGGAAAGCATGCAGATGGCATCATAAATATAGATTGTCCACTAACAGGTGATTATTTGCAAAGCCCAATTATGTGAACATACTAATGAACTTAGTAAACTTACTAATGAATTCCTAGATGTACAGAACATCAATCAGTATCCACGAAAAATAACAGTATTTGCAGGGAACTCTCTGCAGGTTTCACAGTCCAAAGCACTAGAGAAGACAATGGTATATGAGATAATATTGTTTTTTCAATGCTTCAGATTATGAAATTATATATCCACTATTTGTGGGGGGGTTTAAATAATATTTTATTGATTTTCTATTTTTACAAATCATAAGTGCATAGTAAACAACATGTTGTCTGGATTCATTTTTTACTTGAAGATACATATTGAATTTCTGATCTCTACCCCTTTTTTCCGGCAAGTGATAACCTATATCCTTTATTTAAAATTATTCTGTGTCTTCTTTTTCTTTGTTCTTCAATATCACTCTGTCCATTTCTACACATTCCAATGTTTTCTTGATCCTCTCTTCTTGAGGTATATTCCTTCATTTTTCAATCACTAAGCAAATACAATTCTTACTGCTATTAATACATATAACATTAAGTATACACTTCCTCAGCTTATTTTTCTAATATTATATCTAATAAAAATAGTTACAGTTTATAACATCTTTTCTATCCAGCTCATATCTCAATTATATTTGCAATTGAGACCACCTTATTGAACCAATACTCTGTTTTCCCAACTCTTATTTCAATGTTGGTTTCCCTTCAGTATTCAACATATCTTTATAGGTTACAATTTTCTCAAAAGTTGGCTACGTTTGATTGAGTTGTTAAGGGGCTTCTGGTTTGGAGCAGTAGCACAGCAACTGAAGGATTGTGGGGTTCTGCATCCTACAGCCGATTTCTGCCTGCTAGGGGACCCTAAATGGACCTGAAATTGCCTCATAGAGAAAGTAAAGAAGGAAGGCAGTCCCACCGATTGTGGAAAGATGGCAGTCGATCCGATTGGTTTGGAAAAAACCCTCCAGAAACCAGCAGGAGAAAGGCTAGCTTAACTTCAGAGTCCAGCCCAAGCTACAAGCAGCCGAAGCCCAAAAGCACTACTTTAAGCTGACTGTAAACAACGTGCTTGGAACTGGGTAAGAACAGTGAATTTTCTCTCTTCTGCTTGAAAATTGATTTTCTGGAAAAAGAAAAAGAAAAACCCCAAGAAGCAAAAAGCTTCCGAAAGTGAGAAGGGGGGTGGGAATCTTGACCACACCCTCCTACAGATGGAAACGGCGAATTAAACTTTTCAGGGGGAACAGAAATATACTGAAATGAAATGAATATAAGACTTAATTTGGATAAGTTTGAAATCGGTGGAATCTGTTAAGATTTTCCTTTTAAATCATGAAAATAGAAGTAAACAATTGTCTGTTACTGACTGGTGCTGACATCCAGTGGTGGATGAAAATATACAACAGTAGTTGCTTTATTACAGGGACTGACAAAGCTGAGGAAAAGATAACTTGGTTTCGGTGACCTTCAATGTCTTAATAAGAGAGAACTGCTGTGACAAAAAAGAAAGAAAACATTTTGGGCTATCTACAAAGTAAGAATTATAAACTCTAAAAAAAAGAATTGACCTTTCTGGATTACCAACTCAACTGTGACTTTAAAGCTGTCTGTAGAGAAAGGAAAACTGATTTTTAGCTATCATGGAAAATCAGAGATCTGCAGAAATAATATACCAAGAAAAATCAAATACTTTCCAGAAGGAGATCTATACTATGTTGCAACTAATCCAAACAACAATGATCTCAAACCACAAGGAAATTAAAAATAACTTTGGAAATATGAAATGAACACATCTCCAATTTAACTTTGCAACACAAAAATTCTCAGAAAATAAAAACAGAGAGTGAGCAGTAAAAACAGACAACTGAATATCAGACAGAGGACAGAGATTTCAAGATGGAACTTAACAATAGAAGAAAGTATGACTTAACTCAGATGGAAAAAAACTTATAGGAAATACTGGACATGAAAAAGGTAACCTATACCCTAAGATTACAAAATAAGTTTGAGGACAAGAAAAAAGATTTGACAAAATGGATTCTGCCAGAAGAACTATGAGAACTTGAGAGACAAAAAATGATAAATAAAATCAAGAAAGAAAGAAAGGAAAAGATTCTCAATGAATATGAAGGGGTCAAACCTTCCTATAAAAACATCTTATCTGTTTTGCCTTTTGTATCTGCAACAACACTTTTAAGATTATGGAAAGAGTCTTTGATTCAGCAAAGCATATTGATCAGGAAAGATGTTTGGCAAAAAAAAAGGCTAAAGTGAGAAATAAGAAATTAGATGATGGGATTTACCCAAGGGAATATTTAAAAATTAAACATCTGTTTGAATATGGTTAAAGAAATAGAAAGATTTTGGATATAAATAAAGATTAGTTTAAGAGGGATGAACCCCTCAAGTAACAGTATTTTTTCTTTCTTTTTTCCTTTGTGTTTTGTTTTTTGACATGAGAAATATAAAAATGTCGGGTTTATATAAAATAAATGTTTCCTCTGGGTTTTTTTTGGGGGGGGGGGTTTAAGAGAAATGTAAACGTATTGGGATGGCTTGTATGAGAAAAAAGACTTAAATACTTAATTGTAACTAATTTTGAGAAAATCTTAACCAGTAAGAATGTTTAAATATTGTGGGAAAAACAAATTTAAATAAGAATTCTGTAAACAGGATCTATGAGGCAATTAGAAAAGAAGCTTTATATTGATGTGTTCAGTGCTTTTTTTGTCATAGAACACACCAGAATGGTGTTCCGGCACCTTTTTTTGAAGGGAAGAACTGGTTCTTTCTAAGCCACCAGCACAAGTAAAGCTCTGGCTTAGTGAAAGGAAGCTGTCTGGGGAAATCAGGGGCATCGAAGGTCAACCCGGAAACACTTCCACAACCCTGAAAGTAGACCCTCTTCTCTGCCTTGATTCACATGGCTCCCCCCACCCCGCATCTGTCCTTACCCCCACATTGGCTGCCAGGGACTAGGACTGGCTTCTGGAGAGAATCTCTTCGAAGGACCAGGTGTGTTCCTAAAGCAGCAGAAGAGGTGGCAAAAGACATCCCAGCTCCAAACAAGCACCCTCTCAAAAGCCGCAGCAATGCGGTCTATCAGCTGATAGTGATCTGCGCCTTGGAAGCTACCTAAAGTGGTCCCCCCCACTCTGTAAAGGGCTTTTGACTGGAGCCATATGCAGCGTGCTAGAGGCTTCTGCCAGTCCACCGGAGCTGTGTGTGAGTTCCGGCACCTTTTTTTTTTTTACAAAAAAAAAAAAAACAGTGGATGTGGTTATTATTTGCAGAAACATGAAAAAAATGTCTATATTTAATAATAAGAACTGTATTAAGGTTGGCAAAAGAGAGTATTATTGGAAGAAGAGAAAATCAAGCAAAGCCATTATATGGACTATAGAATTATAGAAATTAATTGTTATTATTTTTTAAATACTAACCGAGACAATATGCTGTTTACCAAATATTAAGGTGATTATGTTAAAAATCAATAAAACATATTTTTTAAAAAAAAGTTTCCCTTGTTAAGAACCATTCTGATATTTTCATATTTGCCATTCCATATGAAATAATATTTTTTCAATGCTTCAGATTATAAAATTATATATCCACTATTTGTGTTTTTTTAAGTGCTGTTCTCCTGCCATTGTTGCATTTATTACCCTTCAATATATAGAATCTCTTCAATTACAAATTATTTACATCTGGAATGCATAGGATGGAATTGATTCTGTTGTTATACCCAGGCTCACATTTCCAAAGCAGAAGAGGTTAAGACTTTGCCTATGGCAAGGTTTTGCTTTTTCTCTTTCTTCTGTAGCCTCCAAGCTTCTCAAGTAAAGGTTGGGGGCCATGACCAACAGAGGATGGAGCAGAGCAGACAGACAGTAAGCTAAAGATGAGCTGTGATTCCAAGAGGAGTAATTGTGAGCTCATAATTATCAAAGTTTCTAATTTTTCTTCTCATTCCTCATACAATACCAGGAACAGGTAACATTTGAGAAGCCAGATTTTTGCCACCCTCCCCCCATTAATGGTTAAGGGGAGGGAATGGGAAGACCGCAAGCTTAATGTTAAAATCCAATTAACATTCCCAACTTAAATCTTACCCCCAAGTTAGAAACCAGCCATTTTTATTCAAGCAGGGATGACTTTTAAGGAAAGATAGTTTATTGATTGATTAGTCTTACCAACATATCAAAAAGACTCTTAAAGAAGGAAATAACCTTATCTTTGACAGATATTAATTTTTCATTTTCCCCTTTAAGTCCTCCCCCACCCAACAATCACACATATACACACAAGCTGAAATCTGCACACCTTTCATTTCATTTGAGAAATTTCTGATGTTTCATGTTGACAAGAAAAAAAAGCAAAAGCAAATTAAAACTCAGTGCTGAAATGTAATTGTTTCCCCAGATTTCAGTGATGTGCTGCAAATAGTATACCAACAATCTGTAGGTTGGTCACCCTTCTCTATTCCCTATTCTACATAGTGTACTTCATAAGCTCTAGTGAAGCTGGTAGAATGTTTGTGTGTGTGAAAGGGTGTGTGTGTGTCTGGTGGTCTAGTCTTTAGAACAGTGATTTTCAACCTCAGTCAATTTGATATATGTGGACTTCAACTCCCAGAATTCCCCAGCAAGCATGTCTGGCTGTGGAATTCTGGGAGCTAGTCCACATTTAGAAGCTAGCCACTATGCTTGGCCAGTTTTTATTAAAAAGTAGCCCTGTAATTTAGTTTATTGAAATCTCAATGCTACAATACCTCCTGCAATGATGTTTCAATTGAAACTGGAGGGGGTTGTGGTTTGATAAAATGCACATCACATCCTCTTATAAGGAGCTTCCGTTGAAACATAAAATACTTTTCATTTTTTAACAGGAAGGATTTCTCTTAGCCAATGGGCTTCTGCCATGGAATCGGTTCTGCATCTTGACCTACCCTGGAGAACTCTCCGTTCTCGACTAGTTTGCCTGGCTCTGGATGGAAGTGTGGAATATCTTTCGTGTTTTGACAATTTAGAAATCATACTACCCATCAAAGAGGTGAGGTGATTTGGAACAAGGATGATCAACTTTTTTTCAGAGGGTCTGAACTTTATTTTGAACAACAGGCTGGACATTCTGTAGAGAGGCAGGGCAGGACCAAACAGTGTGCAGAGACAGAAGGAAAAAAATGTTATTATTTCATTTAATTATAGTTATTTAAATATAGATATGAAATACAATTACTCTGATCATAACCTCTATTTTTATGTATATGCAAGAAAGAAAGGAAATTCAAATATATATGCTTCTCACGCTGATAAAAGCTGGCCTTGTTTTGTATGCTGCAACATGAAACATTAAATCAGCATTTAAATCAGTGTATTTTAACAATAGCAAAACACGGGGATATATTAATATATACAGTCCAAATTTTAAAATGGTCTTTCAGTTGGGACTTTCAATAGTATATAATCCTTATTCAAGTACATGTTGAATTTTCAGACCATTGATGACTGACAGAAGATACATATCTTTCCAGGCCCTACATGCTCAATAGGGTTTTCTTCTGTCACTTTAGAAATTATAAAAATTCTATTTGGTGACAACCTTTGGATGGGCTTTAAAGGACATAGTAGTGATTCTCAGTCTTGAAGCTCTAGTTGTACACCTTAATGTAGGAAATGGCTGAATTGATAGCATTGTTAAAACGGTTTGTATAATACTATTAATTTTATTTAGAAACTTGTATACACAATTGTGCAATGTGACTCTTAATGTACACATAGGAAAATAACTACTAGCATTACTAATCAATGGCATGCTATTAGTTTCTTCCTTAAGAGAATTTTCTTTTGAAATATGAAGGATGAAAAGTGGCAAAGTTACCAATGGATAAACGTCTGGAGTTATTGTACATTAGAAGTTTAATCTGGAAGCTTTCTTAGGATAATGCATATCTTCAATTAAATTTTAAATTAAAATCTTTTAGAGTTTAGAATTTGGATTCTGGATGTTGGTTTTGCATGAAATAAATTAAATTTTAAAATATATATTTTTACAGGATATAAAATAGGTTGCAGTATTGTGATTTCAACCATAGACTGAGTATTGTATATTATTATTTCTAACTTCTCTCTCTCTCTCTCTCTCTCTCTCTCTCTCTCTCTCTCTCTCTCTCTCTCTCTCTCTTTCTGTCTTATTTTAGGTTCAACCATATTTGGCGGAAACTCTGTGTAGATACAAAGCTGATTTGGAGATTATCTTTAATATGATTGACCAAGACCATTCTGGTATGTTAAAACTTTAGCTTTCCAAAAATAATGCCATAGTAGTGTATCTAAGCCTAGAAAAGAGAGTTACAGATACCATAGTAGGATGAATTAGGGGAAGATGGTCTTGTATTTATTAAATTATCTTAAAATACATTAAGTCGGCTTTTTTAAATTAAAAGCATTCAAATATTGATTGCAGGGATATGTGCAGCAGTTATTTCCACCTAATGAATGAAGTTAAATCACAATACATAACTAAAAATAGAGGCAAATTTTAGTTGATTTTTCTAGTCACTAATTCTCCTAAAAAGTAGTGTCTCTTGATCATGTGATGCTACACTCTAGAGAAAAACTCATTAACATCTTCCTGCCAAATGCCTCCATTTCTCCTTTCCCTCTTTGCAAGTTGAATCCCCAAAGTGATTTGGTTTCAACAGTATGAAACATGATGCTCAAACAAGCCAAGACAATGGCAAAACAGTGTCTTGATGCAAAACAAACTCTGTGTGTCTTATGTCCCTATCCTGCATTTATAGCAATTTCCTTGATTGATGACTATTTTGTTTATTGTGCTACTGATTAGCACAGCATTCAGAAAATAATTTATTGGGTGTTTAAAAAAATCCACTGAATTTTTAAAAATAGAATAATAAGCAAACAGTGCCAATGGAGGGCATGTTAGTATGTTGTGGAGTCTATTCTGCACAGATGTTGCAGAATTGGCTCTTTACATCCTGGACCTTCTCTGAACAGCAGCTATGGAATCTTTGCCCTGAGAGTCACATCAATTTTCTGTATCCATCCAGTCTTGGAACTTACTGCCCAAAGTTATGAATCAAAATTCTTAGTAGAACAATAATCTCTTACAATCTAATAAAATAACAGAAAAAAACTTTTCAGTAATTTTCAAAAACCAAACCAAGCCATGTTTTTTAGGGTAAAGAATTCCATATTATTATTACATGTGCAACCTTCCCTCTCAGCCTCAGCTTTTCTATTTTATGACATATTTTATTTCTAAAAGAAGAGATTCTAGTCATTCACATAGATTACAGAGATTCATATGAACCTAGCCTGCATTTAGATAGGAAGGTCCTATGCTTTTTAAAGTTTTTATAACCAGCTTTTGAAACCACACCAGGCATAGATAGTAACATGTACAACTGATATAGCTTGAAGTTCTACATTGTTTTCTTCAGACTCCCCAATTCTAATTTCATTCTCATACAGAAGTAACATATCGTATTTAAATTATTTATGCAAATTTGCAGTGTTTTTGTAACACCAGATTTCCCTTCGCTTAGGCCTTATTTCTGCTGATGAATTCCGCCAAACATGGAAACTCTTTAATGCACATGTGAAGAATGATGTGAGTGATGAATCCATTGACAGTTTAGTTCGCACCATGGATTTTAATAAAGACGGTAGCATTGACTTCAATGAATTTCTGGAGGCTTTCCATGTGGTACATAAATTTAGAATTGGTACAATCAGTAATGAAGTTGGATTTTAGACTCAGTTTTTTTCTGTCATATTTTGTTATTAATGATTTGTGGCCTTAATGTTTTGTTACAGTTATCAGATTGAAGAACCAACTAGTTGGAAAAAACCTTTCTTCTTTATATATTAATGTTTTATAAAACATGGCAAATTTATTAATGAGAAACAAAAATATACAGATTGGTCAAGATGACTTAAGGAATAATTTAAATAATATTTTTAATTTTATTCTTTTGAAACTCTTCTTTATAAACAGATTTTTCTTAACAAGTTGATCATATTTATTGTTTTTCCTAAGCTGGTGTCTTCAATATGTATTGGTTTTCAACTTCCATAATTCTTAGCACATGCATTATTCATGCTGCTAAGGTAATGTTTAGCAAAAGATATGACCCATGGACATCTTCTCTGATGAGTCATAAACAGTGAAACTGACATTGTATCATCTTCATACAGTTGTGTGTGTTCTTATCATATGTGAAATTGAGAAACAATTATATGATATAAAATAGCTAGAACTTATTTTAATTACAGAATATAGATGAGAGGAGGTGTGAAAGATCACTAATTCTACAAGTATAAACATTTTTTTACTATAACTGTTGTTTACTAGTTTTGACATGACAGAAATTACAAACATATAATTCTAGCTGGATCCAACTATAGGCCTATCTAATCATATCTATAGTGCCAATAGGAGGCCCCCAGGCAAAAAGTAATAGAGGATTATAGGTCAGTGGATGGAAAAGGCCAGTGTATAGCACAATTCAATATGTGGCTAAAGGAGTGGTGTAAAGGGGAAGGGTTTGGATATATTAGTCATGATGTCTGTAGCTGGTCCAATGAAAAAATGTACAAAAGAGATGGTTTGCATCCATCAAAGAAAGGGACTGAGTTACTCGGCTATAAATTCACAGATTTTCTGGAGGAATAGTTAAACTAAATAGCGGGGACAGTGAGTTAATTAATACAGAACATCCCTGTCCCCGGCAATCTAAAAATTATAGGGCTATCATGCATGTAACATAGATGTGCGTGTGGACAAGAATATCAACCTTGCTGTCAAACAAAATCAAGCTTCTAATAGTGAGTGCCATACAAAGTACACTAACCAAATAGGTAGTAAGACAATAGGGGAACTCAGGCACAGGTTACGTAGAAAGTAAACACAGGGTCAGTCATAAAGGTCTCAAATGTCTATACACCAATGCACAGAATATGAACAGCAAACAGGGTGAACTAGAAATTCAGGTTAATGAGGGCAGATATGATATTGTTGCCATTACGGAAACAAGGTGGGATGAAACCCACAAATGGAACACACAGCTAGAGGGATTTAAATTATTTAAAAGAAACAGATCAAATAAAAGAGGAGGTGGAGTTGCTCTATATGTAAAAAATAACTACATCTCTACAGAAATAGAGCACAACAGTGATGAAAACTGTATTGAATGCATTTGAGTCAATATAAAAAGGGGGGGAATGACATTAGCATAAGTGTATACTACAGGCCACCCAACCAAACAGAGGAAATAGATGAATTTTTTGCTAGTCAGCTAACTAAAGTATGTAGGAAGCACATCACAATAGTAATGGGGGACTTTAACTACCCTGACATCAACTGGGAGACAAACTCTGCTCTAAGTGGAAGATCAAACAGATACCTTGTAAACCTAGCAGACAACTTTGTTTCCCAAAAAGTAGAGAAGGGAACTAGGGGATTAGCCATTTTGGATCTCATTCTCACGAACAGAGATGAAATGATAGAAGGTGTTGAAGCCACAACAACCTTGGGAGGAAGTGATCATGCAATAATGGAATTCAACATTATGGAAGCACAAGCAATAGAACACAGTCAAACTAGAGTCTTGGACTTTAAGAGAGCTAATTTCAATAAACGTAGAGAGGACTTGGGAAGGATTCCATGGATGAGAATCCTCAAGGGGAAAACAATGCAAGAAGCTTGGGAAATTTTGAAAAGTGAGATAATAAAAGCCCAGTCTAGCACAATACCAACAAAGAGGAAAAATAACAGCTCTCAAAAGAAACCAGCATGGCTGCATAAAGAACTCTCTGATAAATTGAAAGATAAAAAGGACAAGTATAGAAAGTGGAAAGAAGGGCACATAACTAAAGCAGAATATCAGCAAATAGCCAGAGCCTGCAAAAATGAAGTGAGGAAAGCTAAGGCTCAAAATGAACCAAGTCAAAAATAACAAAAAAAGCTTCTTTCAACATGTAAAAAACAAGAAAAAAGTGTAGGAAATGATTGGTCCATTAGTGGGGGAAAGTGGCAAGAAGGTGACAAGCAACAGGGAGAAAGCAGAACTATTTAACTCGCTTTTTGCATCTGTCTTTACACAAAGGGAAAAAACAGACCAACCTACCAAAAATAGTGCCATAAAAAACAGAATAGAAACGCAAGTTAAGATAGGCAAGAAAACGGTAAGTGAGCACCTGTCCAGCCTAGACAAGTTCAAATCACCAGGACCAGATGGATTATACCCCAAGGTTCTCAAGGAACTGGCTGATGTGATCTCAGAACCATTGAACTATATTTTTCAAAGATCCTGGAGCACTGGGGAACTACCAGAGGACTGGAAAAGAACTGATGTAGTTCCCATCTTCAAAAAAGGAAAAAAATGGACCCAGGAAATTACAGACCTATCAGCCTGACCTCAATACCTGGGAAGATTCTGGAAAAGATAATAACAATGAATCAGCGAACACCTAGAGGCAAACAAAGTCATTACTAAAAGCCAACATGGGTTTGTCAAAAACAGATCATGCCAGACAAATCTTATTGCATTCTTTGACCAACTGACAAAATTAGTGGATCAGAGGAATGCTGTGGATATAATTTACTTGGACTTCAGTAAGGCATTTGATAAAGTAGATCACTTGATAAGATAGAAAAATGTGGGTTAGACAGCATCATCACCAGATGGATCCATAGCTGGCTGACCGGCCGTACTCAGTGTGTGGTCCTCAATGGAACCACATCTAAATGGAGGGAAATGTGTAGTGGGGTGCCCCAAGGCTCTGTTCTGGGCCCAGTGCTCTTCGAAATCTTCATCAACGATTTGGATGAGGGGATAGATGGGGAAATCATCAAATTTGCAGATGACACCAAGCTGGCAGGAATAGCCAACACTCCAGAAGACAGGCTTAGGATACAGGAGGATCTGGACAGACTTGAACACTGGGCGCTATCTAACAAAATGAAATTCAATGATGAAAAAAATAAGGTTCTACATTTAGGCAAGAAAAACCAAATGTACAGATATAGTATAGGGGGTACCTTGCTCAATAGTAGTAACTGTGAGAGGGACCTCGGAGTCCTAGTGGACAATCACTTAAATATGAGTCAGCAGTGTGCTGCAGCTGCCAAAAAAGCCAACACAGTGCTAGGCTGCATTAACAGAGGGATAGATTCAAGATCACGTGAAGTATTAATACTACTTTACAATGCCTTGGTAAGGCCACACTTGGAATACTGCATCCAGTTTTGGTCACCACGATGTAAAAAAGATGTTGAGACTCTAGAAAGAGTACAGAGAAGAGCAACAAAGATGATTAGGGGACTGGAGGCTAAAGCATATAAGAAAAGGCTGCTGGAATTGGGTATGTCTAGTTTAATGAAGAGAAGGACGAGGGGGGACATGATAGCAGTGTTCCAATATCTCAAGGGCTGCCACAAAGAAGAGGGAGTCAAGCTATTTTCCAAGGTGCCTGAAGGCAGGACAAGAAGCAACGGATGGAAACTAATCAAGGAGAAAAGCAACCTAGAACTAAGGAGAAACTTCCTAACAGTTAGAACAATTAACCAGTGGAACAACCTGCCTCCAGAAGTGGTAAATGCTCCAACACTGGAAGTTTTTAAGAAGAGACTGGACAGCCATTTGTCTGAAATGGTATAAGGTTTCCTGCCTGAGCAGCGAGTTGGACTAGATGACCTCCAAGGTCCCTTCCAACTTTATTATTATTAGTGGTGGTGAACCTATGGCACGGGTGCCAAAGGGGGCACTCAGAGCCCTCTCTGTGGGCATGCGCGCCGGAAATGGCAACTGTCCCTCTTCAATCAGCCACCTGCTAACTTACTGAAGTCCCACATGGCCGGATGCATCCCGGCACGGCTGGTTTCCCTCTCCCCCATCCCATCCCTCCTGGCCTCGCATGCTCTCCTTTTCCCGGGCACGACCTACTGCATCACCTCCTCAGCTGTCGGACGGCCATCCAGCTCAGAGGTGGCTTCTTTGAATTGCTGGTGATGGGCTGTGGAACCCCAGAGTGCGCTGGTCAAGGGGACACTGTCAACCCCCATGCGTTTGCTGGCCTCTGTGTGCGGGGGCCGATGGTGTCAGGCAGTAGCCACCTCAGCCCTTGCCTTGCCCAATGGCAATGGCACCCTCTCCCTGCCTCACCTTACCCCGCAGGACAAGCCTCCTGCCGACCACTCCACCTGCCAGAGACCCCCTGGATCTCCCCCAACCCTGCCCACCCCCCATAGGCGTCCCTCCCCATGAGCAACATTGAGGTGGCCACGCCTACTTTGGCCACACCCAACCAATTTGCTATGACCATCACAGCCACGCCTACCCAGTGGGCCATGCCCACCTGGCACCCGGTGATAAATAAGTGGGTTTTGGGTTGCAGTTTGGGCACTCGGTCTCTAAAAGGTTCGCCATCACTGTGATAAGTGATCCTGTATGACTTTGGTTAATTCCCTTTTAAATCCATCAACCAATCATGTTTATACAATTAATTGTATAAATTGTAATTATATAATATTTTTCTTTTTCTACATTTCTTAATTGGATGTCTCCCTCCCCACTTTTTCCATATCATGTACATCTCTTTTAGTATGTCTTTTTTTTCTGAATTAAGAAAACAGAAATAGACATGGTAGCAGTTCCTCACTGAAGAGTTTCTCCAGCCCCTGCAAGATATTCAGATGAACTCACC